TTTATGATTGTTTCATATTAATAATAATTATAATTTTCCAGTGTAGTCCTTTAGCAGCTGCAGAGTTATGACACATAGGAAGTGAGGTAGGGTATTGGTTAAAGTTTATGATAAAAAAGATCAGCATCCGTCTTGCCAGGAGACCATATAATATATGTAGAATTAACTGGAGCCAGAAAATTCCTTATGATCATAAAATATTCTGAAATAAAATTCCAAGGTACTGTAATTATAAAGCCACACTTCTGGATCATGATGCAGTGAGAGTCATAAGTCCAGAGTGACTCCTATGAAAGCCCTAGAGGTATGCTGGAATTTACAGACATAGCCTCTGAGACAGAACAAGCACATGGCTCCAAATCACTGGGTGTCAGCAGCCACTCAGGGGAGCCTGGAGCGCAGCCATGTAGAGCAGGATGGAGGTTTTCTAGGATCTGAACAGGTTTCTTGAACCTGCAGTGCAGAGTTCGAACTGGGAGTATTTGGGGAGGGTTGGAGAGCTACATGGTCAGCAATCTTCTCTCCCATGCCCACCAACCAAAAAGGCATCCCAGGAGCCCATCAGGGACTCTCATCCTGGTGCAAGCTGAGCTGTGGTAGGGTTATTTCTTAGAGTGCAGAAAAGCTTGCTGAGACGCAATCTGTGGGTACAGTCAAAATGTGGCCTTGGGGTGTTATCAAGATGCCAATTATTTGGGTTTTTATCACTAATTCTATAAAGACAAATAGAAGAGCAAGTCTTCAGCGGCACAGAGACTCATTCAGGGACTTTGGGAGTTCAGTTCTGGGAACAGGCAGGCAGGAAGAATTCCAGGAAAACACCGAGACTCAGACAAAGGGAGAGGCCTATACTTGTCCAAGGAAGCAGCCCTGCCCTGGACCTCGGAGCCCATGGGGAGTCCCCACTCACCTCAAAATACCTCTGGACCTGTCCTATCCTGGGGTGTGGCAGGCAGATCTAGCCCAAGGTCAGCACAGGCTTGGAGATGGTGAGATTATGAAAGAGAAGTACACTGTGAGGTACTTTGAGATAGATGGACCATTGGGCTGAGTCCTGTGATCCTAATGGCTAGAGGTATAGTAAGAGAAGGTGCCAGCTTCTTATTAGGACTGATAGACCAGAGAGGGCTGCAGAAGAATAGGGTCCTGTATGCTGCAGGGACCCCAGCTTTGGAGAAGGTAGACAGCAGAGGCTCACAGGACACAAGTCTGCTGGGTGGGACATCAGGAAATATCTTATCACGTTTAAGAAGTTACTCAGAGCTGACGGTAGGCCCAGAGGAGGGAGTGCCTTAAAACTTCCTAAGGGCTGGGATTGTGGCTCAGTGGTAGAGTGCTTGTCTTACAGGCGTGAGGCACTGGGTTTGATCCTCATTTATTTATAAATAAATAAAATAAAGTATTGTGCCTATCTACAACTTTAAAAAAAAATCTTAAAAAAAACCAAACTTCCTGAGCTGAGGCCAGTAGGAACACTGTCCTTAGGGGAAGAACCCAAGAAGACCAAGAACAAGTGCATGAGACGATGCAGGCTTGGCAGGGAGATCTGGAGACCGTGGGTGTCTGCTGACACCCAAAACGAGAAGACTACATAGAGCAGAAGGGCCCACAGACACTGAGTGCAGGCAGAGGCCTGTGTTCCAGTTCTGCTTCATAACCTTAGCTGTCCCCACATGTGAAAAATGCCCCTATGTAAAGAACTTGGAGCTGGGCCTAGGCGTCTGGGTTGCCTATTCTGACTCCCTTTTTATTTTCCATTTACATGACTTTCTTTTTTTTTTTTAATATTTATTTTTTAGTTTTCGGCAGACACAACATCTTTGTTTGTATGTGGTGCTGAGGATTGAACCCGGGACGCATGCATGCCAGGCGAGCACGCTACCGCTTGAGCCACATCCCCAGTCCACATTACTTTCTTTCCATGTCTTTTCCCCTCATTTTAACTCTGATTCCTCACCCATCCTTTTGAATTCCCAGATCCAAGGGATCCAGAGGGTTCTTTTGTTGAATTCTTCCAGATTGAATTCTTTTAGGAATGGCCCTCCTAAATCTTGGACATATAGTGTGAAAAGGGAATAAGCCTTTCTTTTGTTAAACTGCTGAGAAGTTGTGTTTGCTTGTTACTTCAGCATAACTCAGCACATCCTTACTAATAAGGTGATATGACAGGAAAAAAAGCAAAGCCTTCTTCTTTTGACATGGATATGTATGAGGGTGATGATGATGTAAGAAATGGTATTAGGGGACATTTCTCTTATCACCACTGATTGTGGTTATTAGAAGACTATCCAGATAGAAGAGAAAAAATAGAAATGTGTGATCTATATAAAAGGGATGCAAATGATAATCATTCATGTGGTATGCTCCTCATAGATGCCTAATGATCATTTGGTTAGAACAATTCTGCATGCCACTTGGATTTTTATCTGTCAAGGCTGGGTTCTTGAAGAAGCAAACTGAAGACAGATCAGTGTGCATCAACGCCCTTGGGTTAATTGCTCTGGAAGGGAGTAGTCTGACCTCCAGGCAGTCTCCATAGAAGTCTCAGCTAGCCCTGTGGGGAGTCAGTCCTGATGCCTGTAGGATCTTTAGAGCTGTCAGAAGTTGAGGTGAGAGGGCTGGCTCTTCCTGCTCCCTCTGTTAAGGAGTCATTGAATGGGGTGCTCTAGGTGGAGGTGTTGCTTTGGGCATGGTGGCTATGTTCCGCTAAGGTGAGCCCCAAAGAAGACCAGGGTGTTCAGATTTGGGGTCAGGGCATCTCTCCCAGTGAATGTAGAAAAGTCAGTAGTAATGGCGGCATATTTGGGGGTGAATACGAACCTTCCCCAACATCCTCTCAGAATGGAAAATAACTGAGCATGATGATTTATCCTGGGGACTCAGCTGTATTGCTGGCAACTCAGGCCATGTCAAGGAGACTATGAATAGGCTGGAATATGAGGATTCCATGTATGCATGTACACAAGTGACAGGGGCAACTTCCTTTCCTGTCCAAGAGGAACTAATGGTTAATCCTTAGTTAAATATGTAGTCGGAAGTGTTTCACTATTGAGATGGTGCACATCAACCTGACCAGAAGGCACAGACCCCAAGCTGAGCTTGCCAGGGCCTGACATCCTTTACCAGTGGGTGAGCCTACTGAAAGAGAACTGCAGGCTCCCTCCTCACTTTCTAGAACTAACTGGTCCATCACACACACATATACACACACACATGCTCTCTCACACACACTGTAGGCTCCACCAGCAATTACAAGGATCTACCTCAGGAAGGTATATTGCTATAGTAATAAATGTTAATATTTCTAACCCATCTTATAAAGGTATTTATTGGGCTAGGGATGTGGCTCAGTAGCGTGCTTGCCTTGCATGTATAGGGCACTGGGTTTGATCCTCATCATCATAAATAAATAAAATAAAGGTATTGTATCCTACAAATGAAAAAATGTTAAGAAAAGTATTTGTTAGGGACACACAAACACACACACACGCGCGCCTCTCAACAGAAGAGCTGATGAAAAATACTCTCAAGGGAAGAAGAATTCCTGAGTTTTATGTAGCTGTCTGATTGTAAGCAAGATGCTAAGCCTCTCTGAACCCTAGTTTCCATTTTGGGGGGAAGAAAGGAAGGGAAATGGGGAGGGAGAGGTGCCAAGTGATGTGTAGTGGGAATACTTGATGTGCTTCCAGAATTATAAATACTGTGAATGTATTAAAATTGATACAGGTTAGCAAAGTTATTGGTTTTCTCCTGCTAGTTACCACAGGGTTCCAGAACAATGAAGATCATAATCTACCTTGCTCTGTGGCATATGAAAATTTGAAGTGTCGGTAAAGATTTGTATTACAACAAACACAGAAAATCACAATGTCCAGAATAGGAGAAAGAGGAAGACCCATCTACTACTCTCAGGACCTGGCACCTGCCAGAGTCGTTCCTGGACATCAAAGAGGTGTGTATGTGTGTGTTGGGGTGGGAGGAAGCTGAAACTATAGGCAATAACTCAGCCTCTGCTTCAGACAGATTCCTGGGGGGAGGAAGCATCCCACTTCTCTGAAATAATAGAGACATCTCAAGATAAAAGGAGACTACATACAGCTGAATTTCCCTTTCCACTAATACACAGCATTTCTCAACCTTGAGATGCATCAGAATCTGTTGCAGGGCTTGTTAAAGCACAGATTGCTGGGCTGTATCCCAGAGTTTCTGGTTCTGCAGGTCCTGGGTGGAGCCCACGTTCTGCATCTTTAACAGGTTCCCAGCTGATGCTGATGTTGCTGGTCCAGGGACTATAGTTGGAGAACTATATCTCTAGAACAATCTCAGCTATTAACTCAAAAGTGGGGAGAAGATGGAGCAAGGAAATGCAGCTTATTTTTTAAAAGACTTCAAAAATTATTTTTATATTAAATTGTATTAAGGATTTTTCATTTACTCTGCTGAAAACCCCCCAAATCTGAAACTACTACATAACAGACACTACAACATGGAAGCCAGATAGTGAAGAAAATCTTGTGATCATTAACCATTTATTTCCCAAGAATCTATCTTAAAATCTTATTAATGCCCAAATAACATCTCATTTTAAAGCCAGCACTTGAGATGTGCTCATCTGATAAAATTTATGCATAGCAATTTGAAACTTATATATCTGTTTAAATGAGAGTCATTTCCATGAAGGACATCTGGCTCAGAGGGACTATTGATTTTTTTACCATTTTGACACTTTACTGGGTGTTCTGCAAAGCTTGGGGCAGAGAGTAAAAAGATAAATCATGCAAAACCCTGTTGGTCACTGTGATAGCAGGGAAGGCTGGGTATTGGGGGCCAGTGTGTTGGAAGACATTGCAACTGCCCTTAGGGCAAGTAAGCTCTTACCTTTCCCTCATCTGGCCCTTCTGTAACTTTTAAGGAATTCCCTCTCCCGGTTCTAGGTTAATGTCTTACAATTCTTGGATTCCTTTCCCTAATTCCAATAAAGACAAAGCTACATACGCATCTCTGGAGGAAAATGTCTGTATTAAAAGCCAAAAATCCACAGGAGTACAAGAAGAAACGCCCACCAGGCCACGTCACTGGATAAATCGACTTGGAAAAGGTTCTTAAAGTTCATTTTTAGCGATAACAATATATCGGTGTCAAATCCTTCCCATGCCCTCCCCCCCCTTTAAAATAAATTAAAAAACAACAAACTTCAGATACAACTATGTTCAGATACAAAGAGCTTCTCTTACTACAGCAATAGCAATTTAATCTTTTTGTTTTGTTTTTTTTTTACTAAAACTTTCATTTAAAACAGTTATTAAATATATAAAACAAATACACAGGATTTGGTCATTTTTCTGCCATGAATAAAGGGCACGTGGGTGCGGGGAGGAAGGCGGGCAGGGGATGCAACAGAGGGGAAAGGGCCCCTTTTCCCTGCTCTGTCTTCGGAGCTGTGGATCCCACCCCTCAGTCCAAAGGCTTGCACCTGCTTTTCCGAACAGGAAGCGCAGCACAAACCTGGCTTTTCAAAATCGCTGGGGCTCTCCTGCGGCCCCCTCCCCGGAAAAAGAACTAACGATAACTACAGCACGAAGCACACCTGCCGAGTCTCCCAGCGAGAAAGGCACCCACGAGCGCGGACACAGGGAGGACGCAGGGAGGAGCCGAGCGAGTCACTTGGTGGTCACCCCCGAGGTGACAGCCGCAGCGGCAGCGGCTGCAGCGGCGGCGGCGGCAGCCGCCGCGGTGGTCCCCGCCGGCACTGCAGCGGGGGCGGCCGCGGTAGCGCTGGCGGTGGTCCGGCGCTGCTCCATGCCGTTGGGCAGAAAGCCGGCGATGATGGGCACTGGCCAGATGAGGGCGGCCACGCTCCACACGACGATGACCAGGGTCATGAAGCAGGCCACCAGTGTGGATTCTATGGGCTTGCGGTTCAGCCGCCAGCCCGACTCGCCCTGCAGCTCCTCCAGGCTGAAGTCCAGGCAGCAGAAATGCAGCGGCTCGCCCTGCAGCCACAGCGGCCCTGGCGGTTCTGCCGCTGGGTAGGCGGGCAGCGCGGTGGGCGCCCCGGCGGTGGCAGTGGCCGCGGCGGGCCGGAGGCGGCCAGGGCGGCGGCCGCGCACCCAGCCGCAGCCCACACAGAGGCGCAGGTCCTGCTGCGCGCCACCCGCTGCCAGCCCCAGGTGCTCGATTAGCAGCGGCGGCCCGACTCGGTGGAAGGCGGTGGCAAAGAAGGCGCGGCCGTGCGCATTGGTGGAGAAGAGCAGCAGGTCGCACTGGAAGCCTCGCGGGCGGCCCCAGCGCACAAGCAGCGAACTCAGCATCTGCCGCTGCACGCTGATGTTGCAAGGTGTCGCCGCCGCCGCTTCCTCCGGGCTCGGACGCTCGGGGGACCCCGGGGCCGCCGAGGCCAGCAGCCGCGGGGCGACGGACTCGTCCGCGGACGACGCATTGACCGAAGCGTTGGAGGGCGCCCCGAGGAAGCCCAGCGCGTCCGCAGCCCCTCCGTGGGCCAGCGGCAGTGGGCAGGCTGCGGCCAGCAGCGCGGCGAGCAGGGGCAGCATGGCCTGCGGCGGGCGCCTACGCGCGCGGGACAGGAGGAGGTTGCATGGCGCGCGGGCGACTGGCCGGCGAGCGACAGCGGGGCGCGGGAGCTGGCGGCGGGGCGGATGCCAGCCCGCGGAGGCGGCGGCTCGCAGGGCGCGGGGACCTCTCCAGACCCGCTGCGTCTGGGGTTCCCTTCCGCCCCCGGCGCTGGGGCCCTGGGACCGCCGGGCTGCTCTGCCGGCTGTGGCTCACCCGGAGCAGGATTCCCCGGCTCGCTCCGCCTCCCGCGCGCCCCGCCCCGCCCCGCCCCACCACACCCCGCCTCCCGCTCGCCGACAGCGGGTACTTGGTGGAGGGTGGGTTCCTCGCCCAAGCTGGGTGAGGACACCGGAGGACCCCTCAAGGCGGGATGCGGGACTGGGCGCCAGGGTAGCTCGAGGCGGGCTCCTGGGCCGGGCGATCGCAGAGTGAGAGTCCCTTTCGCTGGGTGCGGGCGCGCAGCGGAGAAGCCGGAGAACGCTCCCCTGCGCTCTGGGAGGATTGCGTCTTCGGAGGGAGGCTCCAGGGTCCCTAGACTATCCCTCTGTCACGCCTGAGGAGAGCCAACAATGTCTCTCCTGGAGCCCCTTTGTTTTACAAAAGGAGAAACTGAGGCCGAGAGAGGGGAAAGGCCTCCCCATGCCACTGCATCCGCCAGAAGCTGATCTCTGACCGACTAACTCTTTTTGCTTTTCTAAGATGTCCCTTAAAACCTCAAGTCTGGAGAATTTAAATGGTTTTTAATGCCTCTCTCGCTCTATAGACCCACTTGGTATTACTCTCCTCACAGCAGACAAATCCTGAGAAAAATTCCAAGAACTCTATGGAGTTCCGGGTGCCAAGTGGCTGGTCGGGACGAGACCTGCAGCTTTGACCCTCTGGGTGTTCTGATTCAGAGTCCTACGCACAGGTGACTGCTCCACCCCGCAGGGTGCCTGCCTAATGGGTCAAGTAAGCATGGATTTACAAAAGATTTGTATGTTAGAATTCACTGTATGTTCAAATTCTGTAGCCATGTTGGGAGGACAGGCTGCCATGAGAAATGTGTCAAGATCAAATTTATATTAAAATCACTTTCCTAGTCATTTGGCCTCTCACATTTGGAAACAAACTTCACTGGCACTCCTTCAGGTAATGCCCCTGTCCTTTGAAGCCATTGTGCTCCATAAATCTGAGAGGGATGGGAAATGAACTGTCAGTAGCCTGAACTAGCTACAGAACTATATCCATTGTTAGGCCTTGGAACCCATTACATTTCTGAGATCTTTTATCCATTGTTTTCTAGCAATGAGTAAAATAGGGCTGAGAATGTTGTAAAAACAGCCTCAAAATACTCAAAATACCCCACCTCTTTCCAGTTAGGCAAATCATTATTCTTACTTGGCTTTGGTGTCCCCATTCTGGTAGTGGGGCTGGTGGAACCTGCCTTGCAAGGGTACTATGATCATGAATGCCTGAAGCCCAGTGTCTGTCCCTCTGCTCACTTAATTTACATAGTCACTATTGGTCCAGCCCAAGTTGACCTTCTGGAATTTCTCAAGGTTCACCTGCTGTGAGAATACCAAGTGGGCCTATTGTGTGGGAGATGCACTAAAAATCCGTCAAAATCTCCAGATTTGTTGAGCACCACTGGTGGCATCCCTGGTGCTACCAGAGAGGGTCATGTGAAAATTTCATGCTTTATTAAAAGTTACTTTTTTAAATTAAAAATTACTGCTTCCAGTCTCATATACCAGAAACCGAAGCTACCACCTGATGTGGCAGAACTGTTTTGGTGCCATGTGTTGGTGATTGTCCAAGGACAGGGTGTCAGGTGGTCCCTGGGGCTGAGAGAGGCCTGGTCTTCAAGGATGTGTTTTTGAGCCAAGCCACTGTTCATGATGGAAAATGACATTCTTTGGGGCTTCAGTCAGAAGCAAGGGCTTCCTGAGCTTTCCTGGGGGTTCTCCTTAGAGAAGTCAGCAGCAAAGGGAGAAGACAGCAATCTGTTTGGAGAGCGAAGTGGTTCCCTGCAAAGATGTTGCTATAGGAGCCCTGCATCCCAGTAACCCGCATTCAGCCTACTTTTCCAGCATGTGCCGAGATTTCTGCTACCTCACCCTCATTCAGAATGTAATTACCACTCAGATCATTGCACAGCTCTTAGTTTCTAGATTGACTTGCTGCTTTTTGGATAACTGGAATTTGTTTACTATTATACCTAGGACAGGGCAGAGGCCTAGTAAATACTTGTCGATTGAACAAACTTTCCTATTTGTTAACAGCTTGGATTGCTACAATTTATTTAGTACTTTCTACATGCCTGGTGTCTTACACACATCTTTAAATCTTTACAACAATCTGATGGGTGAGACCCACTTTATCATGGGAAAACTGAGGCTCCGAGATGGTAAATAACTTACCTGAAGTCCCACAGCAGTTAGTGGCAAAACCAGAATTTCAGTGCAGTGTCCCCCGACTCAGAGTTTTGTGTTTTTTAAAGAACTAGAGGCATCTCAACTCATGGACATTGGAACCCAAAGCCACTTTTCAGCATTTGCAACATAATTCTTTTCTGCACTTTCAAAATATTCTCTAAAATGTACAAACATGACTTCTGCAAATATGTACATATTTCTTGCCTTTCTCAACCTGCTTGTGCTCTTCCCTTCAGTTCAGTAGGGACCTGGAGGGCCAGCCAGGGTCAAGAGGTACCCAACACTGAGTGTCTGCCTACTGGTTAAAAACTTTGCCTGAGCTATAGGCTGGGACTTGTTCATAAGCTGTGGTTCCCAGCCACCTCTTGGTCCATCCTCTGTCACTTTCCCTCCCAGTTTGCCTGTTTCAGCCACACTGAATTCCTTGCTGTTCCATGAACAAACTGAGCACACTCTGGATTCAGGACGTTGCCCATGCTTTTTCCTCTACCTTGGACACTGTTCTTTCTGATGCGTGTCTTGCTTGCTCCCTGGCTTCCTTTCAATCTCTAGTGAGGTGTCAGCTCCTCAGAGAGGCCTTTCCTGACCCCTCACTGTAGAAGAGCACCCTTTGCTATACACACGTTGGTCTCCCTCCTCCTCTGTATGGCTCCACTACTTCCTGGTGCTGATGGGCAGTTGAGAGATTTTTGTGTTTTCTCCTCTTTGTATACTGTCTCTCCCTTTATTCAAATAGCTGCTCCCACAAGGCAGGACTTTATCTGATTTGTTCAATGGAACAGTATTTGGCATACAATCGGGGTTCAAAAAATTGCTGAGGAATGAGTGAGTGAATTCAATAGATTGGACCATGCCAACAGGCAGGGATGTGTGCAGTGTCTTAGGGAGTGGAGAGGGACAGGACAGAGCCACCAGATGTTCTTTCTAGCAGGTTGAAGGCAAATGAGCCCCCTTCCGCTGCCCCAAATCCTATAACTTTTATAAAATAAGAGGAAGGTTTTGATGAATCTCTGTTTTGTCTGTAAAATAGGGGCAGCAAATTTGCCAATATGGAATGTATTAGCAAAAACCAATGAAGACTTCAAAGACAATAATTAGTAATGATGCATAGAACTTTCATTCTCTGCATTTCCTATGTCCCTCCCTAGTATTAGCTTATTTCCCCTTACACTGCCTATTGAAGTAGTAACCTTAGAAGAACACCTCTCTGGGTTATTTGAATTCCTTTTATTCAACCACCTTGGAGTACCACAGATAGTCATTGGTTAGTTCTTTCTTATTATGTGTGTGGAATTAAGATATTATTACCACACATTATAGACTGCAAAATAAACAAGGGCCACAAAAGAACCGTAAAAGTAGGATCGAGAAGAGAAGGGGTTAGGAAGCAGCAGCTTATTCCATCAAAACCATTAGTTGTGGGTTTTGTGTTGGGCTTTTGACTGAGAGGACAAGGAGGTGGGAGAGGAATGCTTTTCATGCCTGTTTCCCTGAGAAATCGCATTTCTCAGATGGGTAACTCAAGGTCTGGTTGCAGGAGCAGCTGGAGAGCTGGGCATCTGTTGGCAGGCAATAGGGAGGAAGTCTGGACGCTCCAGGATTTGGCTGATTAGACCCTGATGATCTCTCGTCTGGGTGTCTGTACACTTAGTGATTCCCCAGTGTCTCAGCCACATCTCCAGGGTGTGCACATTTATCCTTCCTGACTGCTGTGGTCAGAAGAGAGATTCACCCCTGCAGAATTCTGGCAGCAAATTACAGCCTGCACAGTTCATTTGGTAATTAATCATGGGCTCCTTGGGATGAGTCTGCTTTGCAACTTAAGTCATTGCTTACTCTTTTTTTAAAAAAATTTTTTTAGATGTTGACGGACCTTTATTTTATTCATCTATTTATATGTGGTGCTGAGAATTGAACCCAGTGCCTCACACATGCTAGGCAAGTGCTCTACCACTGAGCCACAACCCCAGCCCCCCACCAAGTTATCACTTACTCTTAATTTTTCTGTAGCTTTACATGTTTTGTGTGGCTGCTCTGTGGGCATGGTGGGCCGAGGCCGTTGATGGTATTTCCTTTCATGCTGGGCATCTGGTAAGATTTCAGCAGGACTTTTTGAGGAAAATAAGAAGCTTCTGCTGAACTGGAGAGGTGGAGAGTGCCTGAGAGAGAGAGCCAGCAGGAGGAGGCTGGTGCCCAGGTGGTCTACGTGGGGAAGGACTTGAAAAAACACATGTTGAGTGAACACCTCTTCTGGGCTTGGTCTGCTAGGGGCACCGTCATCAGATAAAATCTGTCCCTTATCCAACACTCACTGTGCGCCAGGCACTGGGTCAAGCACTTGAAATGTGTCCTCACCACAGCTCATGAAGAAGAAATTGCTGTCATTTTTCAGATGAAGTAAACCAAGGCTCAGAGGAGTAGAGTCACACGTACAGTAATACAATGGCAGAGCCAGGATCCAAACCTTGTCTGACTACCTTGTTCTTAAGTGCAACCATGTTAAATGTCCTTTAGGGCAAGGGCTGGGTCATCTTCAGTGCTTCAGCCTCCCAACGACATACAGAATTCTCTATAGTGCTAAAATACTGAAGAATGGTTTCCCAGACCAATGCATCCTTACTGAGTAAGCTCTGGACTATGGTTTCCCTGATAACATGGGTGTTCTTCTCTACTGGCATCTCCATGAAGGACTGAGCTCTCTTCACCACTCTGCCTCTGGGGTCACTGTTATATTATGGATAAGTATCCCTCAAAGGTCCATGTGTTGAAGGCTTACTCC